GCTTAACAAATATATAATGGCATGTGGACAGCGTCTTACCTGGAGAGAGGAGAATTAAGATAAACAGCCCAGGACTGATTCCTGTGAAGTGGAGGTCGAACATACCTCCTCTGTTCAACCTTTTCACCAGTTCTGACAACAGCTGCCCCTACTGTCATTATTGACAGTTGTTATACTGATACTTCTTACCAAAGTAAATTGTTTTTCATATAGCTCTGTAAGGCATATGCAAAATTAATGACATGTATATTTCTGATAGATGTTACAAAATTCTTTTTGCACCTTAGGTAACTTATTCAGTTTTCCCTTAGGCTATGGTTCCTCTGCCTCTGCATTATTGACATTTTGGGCCAGGTAATTTTTTGTTTCTCCCTTACATTCCATTGTAGAATGTTGAACAGCATTCCTGTCCTCTTGTATCTGTCTCCTTTGCTGTAGCGCTGATGCCTGTCCTTTCTACCTGTCTTCTTTATCATCTTTTTCTTTCCCAATTCATTACTTCTAATATGGTGTAGCTTTAGAAACCAATTAACTACACTGATTAGAATTGTGTGTAAAATAGGACAAACAGGTTCCAAATCAGAAGAGTTTTTGTTGAGAACTGCAGTGTTTGTAAATGCACTCTGTGGTATTGTTATGGGTTGTGTGTGTGTGTGTTGATGGCTTAATAGGTGTTACCATGTAGATCTCAACTCTGTTTCAAATAAATGATATTTCCAAGTAGCTGAGTTTTGTTTATAGATGAGGACTTCAGTGTTGTCAGTACAAGAATGTATAACAAAAAAGAAAAAAAAAAGACAAAAACAAACCCATTGCTTTTAAGTCAATTATGATTCATGGAAGTCCCATTGGTTATAGAGTAGAACTGAAGTCCGTAGGATTTTCTTGGCTGTAACTTTTACAGAAGCAGATTCACAAGATTTTCTTTGCAGTGGCAGCACAGCTAAGTGGGTTCTAGTTGCAGCCTTTCTGTTAGTAGATGAGTTCAAGCCATTTGAGCCTCTCAGGGACCCTGTTGTGAAGAATGCAGGAATGCAGGCCCATTATTAAAGGTGGTAGACTGAGATAAGAAAAGATAATGGTAAATGACTTTAAAACTTTGTGATAAGAAAGCAAGAGTAGATTTTCCTCTGAGTTAGGGAGTCCAGCATTCAGCTCATTTCGCCAGACTCTTAGTCTAAGAAATGATATGCCTAATGTGAAAATTACTTGAAAGTATATATTTTTAATCATAAAATTCTGAATCTACAGAATGGAGATACTGGTCTTTGGTGGCATCTGAATTAAAGTCTTGTAGCTAAGTGGTTAATAGTGCATACAGGGAGTTTTGAATTGAGTATAGAAGGGTAGGGGAAGACTTTATTCATTTGAACTATCTGTGTTGCTTGAATTACTTTAAGAATCTATTGCAAAAATTAAATTACTAAAATTAACAGAAAGGAAAACTTAAATGGGAGAGTGGATAAAATTAGTTCGATTTTCCCTCTAGAAAGTTTTGCTTGTGATTTGTATAATAATAATGATAATAATAATAACCTTTCATTAAGCACCTCAGTCACTGAGCTAGCAACTTGACATGTGTTGTGTTATTGTATCCCCCAAATTATGTGTCAACTTGGTTAGACCATGATTTTCAGTATTACGTAGTTATCCTCCATTTTGTGATCTGATGTAATTATCCTATGTGTTATAAATCATAATCTCTATGATGTTACTGAGTCAGGATATAATCTACAGAATTAGGTTGTATCTTGAGTCAGTCTCTCTTGAGATATAAAAGACTTTAAACAAGCAAGCAGAGTTAAGAGGGACCTCAGTACTACCAAAAAAGAAGAGCCAAGGTGGGTGTGTGGGGGGTGTCCATTGGACATGGGATCCCTGTACTGAGAACCTCCTCAACCCAGGGAGCTGACATAGAGAGAAAGTCTTCCCCTAGAGCTATTGTGTTGTTGTTGTTGTTATGTGCCGACGAGTCAGGCCCAACTCATAGCGACCCTTCCTTGGGTTTCCGAGGCGGTATCACTATGGAAGTAGATTGCCCAACCTTCTTTCCGAAGAGTGGCTGGTGAGTTTGAACCTCCAGCCTTCTGGTTAGCAGTCAAGTGCCTTAGGCACTACAGGTGCCCTGAATTCAGACTTCTAGCCTCCTAAACTGTAAGAGAATAAATTTCTATTCCTTGAAGCCATCCACTTGTGGTACTTCTGTAATAGCAGTACTAGATAACTAAGGCAACATGTTTTATTTTAATCTTCATAAATATTTTTTTATGAATGTAAAATATAATTTTCCTCATTTTAAAGATAAAGAAACTTTACCTTTCTCAGGGTCATGTAACTAGTAACAGGTAGAGCCAGATTTGGCGTTAGGTTTATATGCCTCCAAACCTGCGTTTTTCGCTACTGAGCCACATTGGATGAAGTGCTGCCTAGTGGGAAGTGGAAATCAGAACTATTGCCATGTAGTCCAAATCAGGCTGGGTCAACTGAGCCAAGTATCTCTTTTCAGTTAAAAAATAATAATAATAATTTATTAAATAATATTAGGAGTCCCTGGGTGGCATAAGTGGTTAAGCATTCAGCTACTAGCAGTGCCCCCCAGCCTAGAGGTGCCTCAGAAGACAGACCTAGTGGTCTGTTTCCAAAAGATGGTAGCCTTGAAAAGCCAGTTCTGTTCTGCACACTTGGGGTCACTTTGAGTCTGAATCGGCTCAATAGCAACTAATAACAGCAAATAACATCTGAGTATGCCTATTTGCTAGTCTCTGTTTTTATTAAAAATTAATTTACATTGGAAGCAAGATACCATTTTGATGACATTTATTTGCATTTTACTTCACTTTCTAGGCTGGCTCTGGCATTTATTTTAAAAGAAAAGTTTCAACTTCTATTAGTGTTTGCCAGAATTCCATTAAAAGAGTTTAATTATTGATGCTTTATTCATCTTTTGGGGAGTTACATTGCATAAGCTGAAGAGTAAAAAAGTATTATGTTAAATTTTGTTTAAACTATTTTCCATATTTTTTTGATTAGCACATCCCTTCCTAACTCTTCTCTCCTCACCGGTAACATGTCTTTTGTGATCCCAAAGTTTCATAGGACACATTGTAGGCGAATGAGGACTAACCTTAGACTTCAGCTTTGCTTCAGCTTCTTCTCATTTGAAAATCCTAGGTACCGAGGGGCTCTCAATGAACTTGTAGAAGAAGTTCTTGCAAGAGCATTTTTTGTCTGATAATAGGGACTTTTAGATGCCTGTGTAAAACTTCTTCTGGAATGATCTGATTTGCACTTGGTGATAGAAAAAGCATAAGTTTGGGTGTCAGAAAGCTCTGAGTTTGAATCTATAACTTAATAGCTGAGTGACCAAGGAGAAATCAGTTTAGGGTCCCTGAGCCTTTCTTTAAAGGTGCTCCAGTGGTATTGGGGTTGCTAACCAAAAGGTCGGAGGTTTGAACCCACCAGCCACTCTGCGGGAAAAAAATGAAGCAGTCTGCTTCCATAAAGGTTTGCAGCCTTGAAAATCCTCTGGGGATTGCTGTTGAGTCAGAATTGACTTGATGGCAGTGAGTTGGGTGGGAGCCTTTATTTAAAGAGTTCTGATGGCACAGTGGTTAAAGCTTTCAGCTGCTAATGTAAAAGTCAGCGGTTCTAGCTCACCAGTTGCTCCGTGGGAGAAAGATGAGGTAGTCTGCTTCCATAAAGATTTACAGTCTTGGAAACCCTATGGGGCAGTTCTGCTCTGTCTTCTAAGGCAGCTGTGAGTCAGAATTGACTTGATGGCAATGGGTTTGGTTTGGTTTAAGCCTTTATTTCTTCATCTGAAACGAGAATAATGTAATTGTAAAAGAGGGATTCTGAGAAGTAGATAAGCTATGCAAAGCAGAGAACAGAAATATGTATTCCATAGGTACTTAGAGCACATTGGTTCATCCAGATCTTCATCTTGCTTCTCATCATGACCCAGATGAGAAGGGAAATAGGACAGCAAGGATATTAAGGACTTCATGAAACATTGTTTCCATCTATTTCCATTAGCTAATTTTCTGGTAGCTAGCATCTGAACCTAGTAGCATCTAAGAACACCAGTGATCTCTTTTTTATTAGAGCTCTGGAATTAATATTCTGGAATTAGCAATGACTTTGGGTGCTTTGTTGCTTTTTATGGTTTGCATCTGTCACAGTTTTTGCTTGTTTGTTTAATTGGGTTGAGCCTGTATCAGAACTTAACTTTTAAAGACATATGCAGAATATATGCAGCAGAGAAAGTTAAATTCATCATACTTCATTCTTCTGCTTTATTCTCTGTTGTGTATATTCAAAGGAAATGATTGAAATTTTACTTTTTGGGGAGACAAAGAAAACTAAATTTATACAAAAAAAAAGATTTCTAAAATCTTCTATCTTTTATTGTTGTGGTACTCAGTAGGAAAAAAATCTTTCTATTATTACATAGACCTATTAGAGAACATCTCAGACTTTTTAACACAAATATTTTAGGTGTTTGTTTGTTTTGTGGAATGAACCTGAACCAGAGGAGATTTCTTAGATTCTCTGTCAATGGTGAATAATTTACAATTCTTATTAATACTCCTAAAAAATATTTTATGTAATATATATATGTATATATACACACATACACTATCTCTTATAGTAATGATTTTAGTATTTATTATTTAAGCTTCATAAAACATTATTTGCCGTTAAATGAAATTTCAGGATATAGAGATAAGAATACTTATTTGAATCGTGTTTGATTTTGTCATTTAAAGATAATAGACATTTTTGAGAATTCAGAAATGTGAATACCAATGTTCAGTTATTATAAGAGACACTGTAGAAGTTTCTACTGCCTTATTTTTGTTGGACATTAAAATTATTTCATTGAAACATACAAGCTGATTGTTACAGTAATCAAGAGATAAAGTTATGTTTATGTCTCTTCTGCATATAAAATAATTGTCTGGCAAATGTCATGTAACTATCATATTTTCTTTTCCCAGATTCATAATGACCATTTACTAGCCAGTGAAAACCAGCATATAACTCAGTGGGAGGATTTCATGAGAGAACAACGTAACAAGCAGGCTGAAGTGGACGAAGAGCACAGAAAAGCCATGGAGAGGCTGAAAGCACAGTATGCTGAGATGGAGAAGGACCTAGCAAAATTTTCAACCTTTTAAGAACTTGAACTTCATAGTAACAAATTACTGAGAAAACATTGACTCTGTGCCCTCCTCCCCCAGCATATTCCTATCAAACCATTTAACCTCTGTTGAAGCTTAGCAATATATTCAGTGGCACTCTTAGAAGAAAGAAACATCTGCTGGAGTCCTTATTAAATGTTTAGTAGAAGAAGAGTGCTCTGTCTCTTCCGTTTCAAGTGCCTACATGCGATTACTTTATCAGCCAGTGAGAGGAGGAAAGATGAGATAAAGTTATTATTTGTCAATCAGAATTGTTCTTCTCTTCCATTGATTAGGTTAGAGGATTGTAAGTGTAGACTTC